AGTAACTTTTTTCAAGTATTCTTTTATGTTTGCCTCTCCCCCCCTTTAATGCAATGCTGGACTCACCCATGATAAAAAACTATTGAGATAAGCAATGCGTTAGAACAACCATGCCCAAGGCAAATTAGTTGCTGGACATGTTTTGTGTAAATAGTCTTGAATTTTTCACAACTTGCAGAGCAATTTCCCTTCAGGTTAATGAACCAAGTGGTAATGAACTTCCACCCTTTTTTAATATCCTGACACGGAGCAATGACCTAAAGATACTTTTATCATCATGACGCTCTTAAGCTTTTTGAAAATGTAGGAGGTATTGTTCCAGAACCAATACATCCACACATGCCTTGGTGGCTAATTAAAACACAATGCTGCCACAAAAGGTTCTGTTCAAATAAATTATGCAAGATGAATGGTTTGCTGGCAAAGATCTGGATTACGAGGTGACCCTTCGAGAATGAAGTCTTAAGACGAGAATATCGATACACGGTATTTCACTGCATCTTCTGGAATGCGAATATTACAGAAAAAAATATTTACAAAATTTTTAATTTATTCTCAATTTCTAAGGGGAAATTACGTTCTTTTTTACTGAAAAAGTGGACTTTTTACCCACTTATATGATTTAAACTGAAAAATAGTACAGAACCTTCATATTCATCAAATTTTTATTCTGAGTGGAAATTTTCTGAGCAAAAAGACAGTTCTTTCAAAACTCCTAACACTTTTCAAAATTTATAAATCTTTTGCAATTACCGGTGTTATATACTCAATGTTTATCTTTAAACCTAGATGTAGCTTTAAATCAGTCTATTTTGCCAGCTCTGGACCAACATAAATATAATTACTGTTACAGTAGCAAGGACAGTTCAATTCAAATTATTGTTTTTCTTTTTATCAAGAGCTTGTAAAATATGTGGGTATTACCTCCAATATATCTGTGACTGTCAGTCACCATCATCAGGAGGTAAATGAAGTTAACAGAAATATTGGAGGTAATACCCACATATTTTACAAGCTCTTGATAAAAAGAAAAACAATAATTTGAATTGTTACATACAGAGCTAATGAAACTGTTCTCTCAAGGACAGTACAGCTGAAAGTCGCAAGGCCTTTCAGAATTGGCAATTTGAAACTTTTTTTAGCTTTCTCAGATCAAAGCTAATCATAAGGCTGCCTGATGCCTTAGATGGCACACGTTGCGTCACTGCCATAGACAAAAACATTGGAAACCATACAGAGAAAAATAGACATCTTTGATATCAGCAGCCTAGCTAAAGCTGGGGTTGGTTGGACAAAAGAGCTATAGACTGGATTCCCATACCCAGATCTACCTAACAGGATTGATCCATCTCCACGGGGTTTCTCACTTAATTACTTTTTGCTTAAGCGGCTTAGATGTCTGGCAGTCTACTGAAGCTGATTAACTATAATTAATTATCCCCTAGCAGCTTCAGTAGGTGTGACAGATATTTAAGACACTTAAGTTGATTGCAGTTTAGCAAGAATCCCCTCGGAGAAAGACTGATCCACAGTAAATATGATAGGGTCTGGGAATGGTCCCTTAGTCCGAAAATTTGGCTTACATGATTTCAAGATAAATCAACTGTAATCCATTTAGATTAAGAAAGAATTGGTCTGAAACAGAAGCTGCAATTCTCCTGTTACCAAGAAAAGCGCAACATTGCATTAAATTGGATTACTAAGCCATCACTCATTTATCTTGGTTCAAAGCAAGTTCACATTTTGGCCTGAAGATTCAAATCAAGCATTTAGCTAAAGAGCCTTTGTGACACTCGGGCCCCAGCGACTAATTCGGATCTACTGCTAAATGTGGTGCCTCTTAACTTTGTGCACCATCCAAGAAACCCTGTGATCAAGCTGTACAATTCATTAAATAGACAACTGCTGGCTCTTTAACATCAGTCAAAAACAAGGATATCTATCTAATATAGATAACAAATCCTTTCTGTTTACTTCAACTATAAACGATTGACAAAAATAACCATATTTTACCTATTTTTTAAAATATGAATATGACACTCTTTCTCACATACATTCACTTTGATGTATTGCCCAATTAACTGATGTGATAATATGAAAATAATCGCAGACTTTATTAGGTTTTAATTAAGCCATCTTTCAAATTTACACATCAACTGACAATTCACTAATGTGGACATTTCATAAAAAGAGGCTTTCTAACAGCCAATTTACTCAATTTTGAACCAAACGTATTCCAAACTAATTCCATTAATTCAAATTGTCACTTTTTTCACAAAACAAATGAAAGACTTTGGCTTGAACCCAAATCACTGTTCAGAATTTTTTTAAACATTCTCTGAAAATAAAGGAATTTACTCTAACTTCTTTTGTTAGCCTGCGTCAAATTATTTATTTACTTACCGGTCTCCAAATATAACCGTCATTGCGATTGATGACTATGACGCACAGGGTATGAACAGCAGCCAGGCCAATCCCCCCGAACACCGAAACTCTCATTCTGACGGGCAGCAAGCTGTAGGTCATATATATACAAAATATACTCAACCAGACCCCTTCACTGGCCGTCCTTGGGGACGTATCTGTGGTGACGAGTATCACCATAGTGATCATAAATATGAGGATGACATATCCAAGCGAGACAAGGTGAAGTTGAGAAAAGGAGCTTTTATTGCACAGGATTTGTACCACGATGAAAGCGAGGAAGAGTAGTCCGAAGAGAGTTCCTTTCAGAGGCGACGTTTGCCCTCCTATGTAATGGAATGCAACTAGAATAACACAGATTGTCATAAGTAGAGCCATGAGTTGAGTAAGATTATTTTGGTTTAGTTTAAAAAAGTAGCGCTGGTACAGAATCTCCAGCTGGTGATCTTTGAATTTTTTCGTCCTAAAAACATTCTGCACTGTCTGCCATTTGCAACAACTGTCATCAGTCAGATTCGATTCCATCTCCATCTGCAAGCATGTTGCTTCCTTTCTGTGTGCCTTTTTTTGCTTTTTCTCTCCTGCTTCAAATTTTTCCTGTGCTCTATCCCACGCAGACCTCCTCTTTGTTTGGGAGAGCTCAGAGGCAGGGCGCGAAAGGTTTGGCGAGACATTAAAACTGTTCTGCTCAATGCCAGGATGTTGAGCTCCACCATTTTGCTTCCGATTTCTGTTCGGACTAAGTACCTGAACCTGATGCCTAATCGCACCCTCCTCAGTTGAAATAACTCCCTGCCTCCCACCATCTATATGGAGGAGGGTGTCTTCGTCTGCATCCTCCACTTTGACGTCCTGGTGTAGTGGACCTATACTGTTGCTTTTTGTTATCCGCATGCCAGGTTTAGCGACTGCGTTCCAACTGTAGTCTGAGCTCATAAGTTTTTGATTTGCCTGCGTGGATCATGTGCTCATTTATACCAAGGCAGCTCCAAGTGTGTTGCCACAGGTGCTTGATTACGGCAGTTTCAATAAACACGTTTACATGTAATTTTCTCAATTCTCCATTTCACTACCTGTTTTCATTAGCAAGGCAGCTCAGAGTACAGAACATCACAGACGAGTTTTTGACAGCTGTGATTAGCAAGTTTTTATATTTCAGTGAAATTTCCTGAAATCATCAGCGGCCTCTCTTGCCAAGTCGTTTGTTTGCTCAGACGATAATTATCCCCTATTTTACTCAACTGCAAGAACTGCAAATCAGTTCCCTGCTTCATAATTATCACCCAACAACTGTTATGAAAGCTTGTCTTTTTTTCTGAGTAGGAAAGATAGTATGCAGTGCTTTCTTAATCCATTCCTTGTCATATAGTAACACAAATATTTTTCTGTTTAAATCTTTCTCCTTGTAGGTACAAATTACCTCAAATGAAGGAAAGCTTCCCAGTTTTGTTTTTCGATGTTCCAATATACATCAAAATATTTGTCCAATGGTCATTGTTAAATAACCTGATGCCTGAAGCAGCATAACTGTACTGAACTTTGACTAATGGCAACCTGCATACCTTGTATATTATAACTATTATATGTTGACTGAGTCCTATGCAAATCACAAATAGGAAATTAATCCCAGTCAAACTGAAATCTTACAATTCACAAGTTCATCTCACTTGACAATTTGACTTCCTGCAGCCGTGTGGAAAAAATAGTCTTTTAAATTATACACTGAGAAATATTCTGTCTGATAAGGTTGTAGAATGTGTTCAATCCCTAGTCATGAATTTGCTAATTGCCTCCTCGTGCACAACTACACCCGATTAAGTTAAAGCAACAAGGCATAACATCAGCAAACCAAAACACATCTCCATCCACGCTTTTAAGTCTGCTGGCTGTGGCTTACAGCAATTAAACAACCACTGGTTGATTAGTGAAAGAAATGCTGGTAGAGTGTCCATATCATCTCCGATATCAGTAATTTGCCATGATCAGTCAAAACAAGAGGAGCTGCACTGACAGCCACCGTGATGATAATCAATGGTTATTATTGCGATCCAATATCATACAGGCCCACTTCACAGTGAAGGTATTATGTATACTTCTTGCAGCGTATTACTGTAACCCATGCCACACCAAAGCACTGCTACTGCTATAGCTACATGCAATGCAGTTCCTTACAAAAAAATGTGTGTATGACAATGTCGGTTAAATAATGGCGGAAACACACCCCATTCCCACTGTCAAATCAAATTTCTTTCATCAATACCCGACAAGACAAATAATGTAATTGCACCTTGGTATTGTAATAGCTCCACGCTTTTCACTGGAACTACAACAGGAAATCATCCTTCTCCATTGGCACGTAAATCACAACAGATTGATCTTCAAAGGCATCAATACGGTTACAGTTCAAATTATTCCCAATGGACCTTCCAGTGGGTACAATGTTATATGCACTGTAACCACGCAAGTTCAAAAGTGCACCTCCTTCGCAAAAAGGAGCTCTTCAGTTTTTCTCGATGAAAAAGTGTGCAGCCATTTGGCAAACAACTGATTAACGGAGTTAGTGTTTTGTCCTACACACCAAAAACCAACAAGAACCTTTGTTTTATGTCAATACAGGAAATTCTTAGTACTTGTCCTTGTGTCAGTCATTGTAATTTAGAAAGAAATGAGTTTCAGAGTGTAGAATTGTATGGGTGCCCTTTTATCAATAACACAATAGAAATTTCTAATTTGTTCTTCCTGTTTGCTGTTCAGCACTGTTTGGCTGCTTGCTGTTCAGTTACAGTTGTAATTCAGAGACAAATGGACCACTGCTTGCTGTTTCTCTCTCTCTGCATTGCTGTTTCAGAGTGTTCCTTAGCTGGTCTCTAGAATGTCACAATGATCTTCTTAAGCTCTCTCTATCTCTTCTGCCAATTCACAATAAAAATGTGTATAATCTACCTATCAAACCCAGCTCAAAAAATGACAAGCAAATGATACTGTCAAAAGTTTTAGTGGATGTGATTCTTTCTTCTGCTTGTTCCACAAAACTTGATGTCATAAAAATTTGTATTACGTAGGATGTCAAGTAGAATCCTTCCAGCTGTAAAGTGCAATGTTTGGCATCTCCTTCACAAGAAAGCAATTATGTCTATCAAACTGCTATCAAAATCCACAGGATATCACTGCTTGCTTCAATCTGTTTTAGCTGCTGCCATTTGTTTTACCTTAGAGATTTTCTAGCTCGAGCAACAAAATGCAAGCAGTACCATGGGCCAAATCAATGAGCATATTCTCAAGCAATTTGCAAAATGGAGTGATGAACGTGCAATGCAAGTTGTGTTAATAAGTCTTAGCCTCTGGTTTACAGAAGGTTGTAAGATGATTGCGGGAGCACAGGTGAAGGCAACAAGATTTTTCCTGATGGACTGCTTCTTCGGTGCATCTGAAATATAAAATCAACAATATTAAATCATCACAGCATCTGCTCTGTTTACATCACAAAATTTAAAATACTGAGCACACATGACACCATGATATTCCAAAATCTCCCTCCAATTAAATGATAATTTAATTTCTTTTTAATAACACAAAAAAATATTTCCTACAGATAGCAAATGAACACCAATGCCACATTCTAAATTTGTCTCCTTTAGTTCTAGATAGGTAAATCAAATAATACTAATTTTATTTTAGTCCTTCGAATTATTCTTGTAAGTAAGAAATAATTTAAAAAATACTTTAAGTAACATTGTGTTTAATATTACTATGATAATGTAAAAAATATGTACATAATTGTCAATCTTGATGTAATATTACATAATGCTTAATATCATGGTCACCACCAAATTAAATTATATACCACTGTTACAAAATGTAACCAACACAGGGCTTCAGACCCATGAGAACTCAATGGCATGTATGCCAGAAAATTGCCACTTGAAATCTTCATTAAAAAATATCATTTCATGATGAAAAATAAACAATCTTCATTAAAAAAAGATCATTTCAAGATGAAAAATAAATCAATCAGGCTGGATTTCTAATCAAGCATTATGTAAGTCCTGTTACGAAACCCCATAAGACTGAGAATAATAAGATGAAGCTTGTTTTTCCTTATCCTGTGTTTACAAGCAAAATTCTACGAAAGGGGGCTGAAACACTTGCAGTGGCAGCTGCGACAGACACAGGTGATGGTTATATATACACCAGTGATAGTTATATGTCCAAACAGAGAGCGTCTGTCCAAAAATACAAAAACCATTCTACAGTTTCAGGATAGGATATGACTCACATTGTGAAGATACTCCCAACAAAATAGGCATACAATAAAATATGCCACCAACCAAAAAAATTAGATACAAACCACGACAAACCCCTGTGACTTCAGCAATAAAATGCTGTACATAACGCTAATAACACAAATTGAATATCCAACAAGCAAGCTATCTACCCACATTATGTGGACTTGACCTTACTTCTTTTTTTTTTAGTTTTCTGAAAAAAAATGAACATTTTCAGGCATATCAATTCAAGATGATGACAAATTTGTTAACAGCAGAGTTTTAATTGTGGAATGTGGTACACGTGGAGCGGGGGACATCATAAGAAGATTAGGTGGTGGCAGTGGCGCTTTAAAATGGGTCCGCCATATTTGATCCGCTGATCTGTTAGTGCTGGTGAACTAATTCAGCCACCTTTGGCAGATATGAGACACTTTACATGAATTAGGTGATACAAATATCAGGGGTGGATTTAGGACGTCTTCTGAATCTTCCAGAAGACGGTCAGATTTTCAAGTTAAACTAATGTTTTCTGTCGGAAGATGGTCAAAAATGGATGGATCAACAAAGATCATTTGGAAGACTGTCAGAAAATATCTCTGAGCCCGCCCCTGAATATGAATGGAATTATAAGCCACATGCATCAGGAAATTAGACTTGTTGATAGACTTTTTTTCTCAAACATTTGCTCCCTATTGCAGAGAAATTAGAAAATCTTGAAAGGAAAGCTAGCCTTATGCAAAAATAGTCCCAAAAGAGCTACTAGTTCTCTAGTAAAATTTTGTTTAAAATAGCTGCTTAATTCTCTTTTAATTACTCTATCCCAAAGATCCAACTGAATATATATTCCACAGCTGTTGTTTATAAATTATGCCAATCATGCAATTATGATTAACCATATCCCATTGCCAAAAGTCTGGTTGAACAGGGTTATATAATCCATAGCCAAGATGGCTACCATTCCTATCCAAGTCGTCACATAATGTCTGATATCCTACAAGACAAGAAGGGTCATTCAAATTGAGCTTAAATATGACAAAAAACTGACATCAACGAAAAGGCAATATTTGAAAAACTATATCGTAGACCATTACCTATTCAAAAAAGGATATTTCAACCTGCAGGAAATCTACATATATACATGATTGCATTTTGCTTTGATTGTCAAAAACACCTTGTTGCCATATAGCATCCCAGTTCATACAGTCACCATGCATCCTAAATTAAGGGGGGGGTCCATTATCTTAGCATACTGACTGTATGGCCTTGTGATCAGTGTCCCCCTCAAAGGCAGGAAAACATTGGATCGAACCCATCTGGGTGAGAACGTCAACACTCAGACTCTATCAGGGTCAGAACAACGCGTATAGATACTTATCAAGGTGTGTATCAGTACGCGCTTCGGAGTATCAGAGGCGACAACACTCTTGCCTATTACGCGATGTGATATAGTGATGATTCTCAGAGGGGTTGGAAAGTACCGGTAGTACATCTTATGTCATTTGTTCCGGGGTATGATACTGTGAAATGCGTACTGATGCACACATTAAAAACGGGTAGTGTGGTCCGATCTACCAGTGAATTCGGGATCATTCGGTGCCAAGTCTGGTAGTTGGGTAGGCCTGCTTATTTCTGTCTCTGATACTGCTTTCCAGTGGTTAAAAAAGGCTGCTAACCTCAGGATAACTGCCCAGAGGATAACAATTTTATCCAAAGGATAGTGGTATCCATAGGATAGCACTATCCAGTCACTAGTGGGCTGGATTTGGTCTTAAGGTGCAATTTAAGTTCACAAGTGATCTTACACGATCTTAAACATTACAGCAGTAGTCTTAAAATGGACTGAATCTGCTTTTAAGATCAAAAATGATCTACATGTAACATCTACTTAAGTGGTCAAGCAGTTTCCTCCCCTCACAATGGGGGATACCTCCCCTCACAATAGAGGACACCTCTGCTCACAATAGGAGAATGTGTAAGGGGAGACAACTTAATTGGCTGTTAGACCAGAAATAGTCTTACTCATGGTTTAAGATCACGTAAGACTATTTGTGAACTTAAATTGCACTTTAAGACCAAATCAAGCCCACTAGTGAGTGTTGATGAAACTGGGCCCAGGCGTCTAATGTAAACCGCACTGAGAGGTGCACCGCACTGAGAGGTGCACATGGAGTAGGGTTTATAATTATAAGAACTTTGCTTTAAGCTAATGGAGTGTCTGAGCACCTATAGTCTTCATGACTTCCAATATGCCAGTAATTTCAATAAAAACCTCCACCATCTTCTTCAACTGGTTCAATCAGAGACCACAGACCTGCTTTTTAATTAACAATTCTCATCTTTATCCCGCATTTCATTTTCCAACTGTTGGCAAATAAAAACATGTATTTAGGAGCTAAATATTTAATTACCATGAAGTCTACTATGTTTAAATATAGACTATTCATTTATTTATGTTAAAGGTACCGTATGCAGAATATTAGTGCCAAAATTCATAAAAATAATTTACCTGGTCTATATGTCTACCATCTTAATTACTGGTTTTAAATTTTAATGGAAATTTTAAGAAATCAGAATGAGGCTCTCCACACTGCATGTCATGTGTGACCAGACAATACGCAAGATTATCTGCACAAGTTGGGTTTTACATAAGATTGATTCGATCCTGATAACTTAAGAAACTCTTTACATCAGAAGTGTCATCTTAGATAGCAACACTTAAAGGGATAATAACTCTTCGTATGAAATCTGTATTTCACAATAAAAACATTGTGAGTGACTCATAAAAATATAATATATACTGTTTTCCCACAAAAACGGCTGTTATAGCTATTATTCTGATATCTGAGCTTGTCTTTAGACCACGTGACCTCCATTGATGGCTATACTCTGTTAAAATCTCTTAAGTGATTTTAACAAAAAACCAAACTTTTTAGAAAAAAACCAGGGACTAACTGTGAATGTAAAAATGGATTCATTAACCATTGGTAAGTATGGGAAAATTGTTGTTTACTCCAGGAAAATTCATTTTTTGGCCGAAACGAAGAGTTATTATCACTTTAAGTGATGACCAAAAACACGGTGAATACATCCTGCTGTGCAGAAGACTGTATTCTAGAGAACTTAAGAGATGACAACCTCAAAAAAATCCATGGATAAATTGTCAGCTTTTACCCATTGCCTCTTCTCCCACTCCCCAAATCTACAAAACATATACATATATACATACACACACACACACACACACACACACACACACACACACACACACACACACACACACACACATATATGCAGGCACACAAACACTTGTCTGTAATCATTTCTGATTTTACGGAGCACAAGTGTCAAATGTCTGCACATGCATGAAAAGCGTGCCTTTTGAAATAACCAAATGTCAACTGACACCGTGCAGCCTGCCAGTATTTGCCACATAGTTGATTTGATTTAATTTCCTGTCTGGTGTCGTTTAAAAAAAAGTATGTTGGAAATGTTTTGTTGATTGTATATAGCTAAATCCACAGGAATTGGCTCGGAATGACATTTATTTTTGTCTATATTGCGAGGGGATTCTCTTTGTATTTTTAGTGATAAATGTTACCCCACATGACCCCCCCCCCCCCTTCCATTCTTGATAAAGAAATTACCCCATATGGGATTGTGAAAACTGTACTGCAAAATGCATTTAAAAATTATAGGAAGGTAATGCATATATGAGAAAGCCCTTTTCTTTAGGTGAAATTAACCGATTAAACATTTTAAATCTCTACTTCTGTGTGCAACCAACAGTTTTAATTTTTTGATATAGTGAGGCAATGGGACTTAACAATAGGAGACAATTTGTAGCCTTGTACATGTACTGTAATATTTGGAAGTTTGTTACTATAGTATTAAGTTCATGCATAGCATGCAAGGTCCATCAAAATACTTTGAAGTTACTATTGGAATCTTCAATAATGATAAATATAATAACGCAGTAATCCTTCTACTTGGCATATTTATTACATTAATTGATATTTTGTAGAAATTACAGGCTAAAACATGCCAAAATCATCTGCATGACTCCCTTCTCACATCAAGGCATGAAGCTTTGCTCCTGTGCTATTTTATGGTACAATTAAGTCTGAGACTAGGCTATCTTGAATATTTCCCATTTTAAATT